TACAGTACTTGTGGAACTATTAGAGATGTGCTTCTAATGGAGTAAATACAGTACTTGTGGCACTATTAGAGATGTGCTTCTAATGGAGTAAATACAGTACTTGTGGCACTATTAGAGATGTGCTTCTAATGGAGTAAATACAGTACTTGTGGCACTATTAGAGATGTGCTTCTAATGGAGTGAATACAGTACTTGTGGCACTATGACAGATGTGCTTCTAATGGAGTAAATACAGTACTTGTGGCACTATTAGAAATGTGCATCTGATGGAGTAAATACAGTACTTGTGGCACTATTAGAGATGTGCTTCTAATGGAGTACATACAGTACTTGTGGCACTATTAGAGATGTGCTTCTAATGGAGTAAATACAGTTCTTGTGGCACTATTAGAGATGTGCTTTTAATGAAGTAAATACAGTACTTGTGGCACTATTAGAGATGTGCTTCTAATAGTGCTAGTGTGACTTACCAGTATAACACAAGTTAGAGGAAATTTTAAAGAGCCATTTTGTAAACATGCTGCCCTCTGTAGTCTATTATGCATGATTACTTTGTTTTGTTTTTTCATTGAAATCTTTGACCTAGTTCGGGTGTCCATCCATCTATCTATTTGTCTGTCTATCTGTCTATTTGCCTGTTTGTTTGCTTATGTCATTGACTTGTATTCACCAGAGTGAATCAAAACTTGACACAAAGGGCACGACATCTGCAGGGCATTTTGTTTTTCTGTTTGAGAAAACATGCCTGATTGGTGGCCATTTTGGAGAGCTTCCTATTACTGCTTGATACCAGAATTATGCTTGTGTCCAGTGCTGATATCTCTCAAAGATGTTAACCAATTTGATTCAAACATAAAGACAAACATTGATTGATTGATCATGTGCCTGTTACTGAGTTTGAGTTGTACATTTAGTTGCCTATCCATCGCACCAATGTCGCATATTTACATCGCATATTTTAGTTGCTGCATTAAACATGTAAATGTACTTTGAGTTTATCTATTTTCCCTGGGTCAACAATTGTGTTTGAGAATACAGATATATCATGTTTTACCACATTTCATCTAAGCATAGTATAGCATGTGATCTTTGTTTAATATTTGTGTACTACTGTTCTCAACCGTAGTACCCATACTTTTAGGAGAATTCTATATTGTGGTCAAGTTTGACTAAGTGCACACCCCTTCCAAAATACCCTGAAAACATTTTGACATTTTGATCTTGACTTTGACTGTTTTTCCACAGACCCCAATAACTCTTAAGAGATGTAATATTACCCCTGGTCTGGTACATGGTTAACAAAAATTTTCGGGGGGGGGGGGGTGGTGCTCGACTAAGTACCTTGGGTGTTAAGTCAGACAAGAACGATATTGACATTATTTGTTTGTTTCAGTTGTTGTAGATTTATCCGATCAAGAGAGCATTGAGTTGGCCGGGACGTGGAAACAAGACATTGTCAACCATGCAGTTATTACAAATAAAAAAACAGAAAAGCAAAGTGATGGCACGATGAAAGTAGTTACAGAGTACACCAAAGCTGATCCAAAGGATATACCAGTATTATTACTCGGCAATAAATACGATATTGTAAGTATGAGTTCTTTTGATAAATTGTTTGCCATTTTTCAAAGTCATTTACATATTGATCAGAAATGATTTTTGTGGTACCTGAATGAACACACATGAAGTAAAATGTTTTGACAAAGAAGAGCAAGCTACCATACCAGCCATTCTCGACTACTGTAAAATACTTTTATTTTCGCTTATAATAAATATTCGCTGAAGTTTTTTCAGTGAAAATAAAATCTAGTGAAAATACCTTTTTTCCTATATTTTACATTCAACTCGTCAAAAATCAGTGAAAATAAATTCCATACAAAACACCAAAAAAGTCTTTTCAGCGAAAATTTATTCCAGCTAAAATGAATTTTACAGTATCTGGATTGGGGTGTGAACAGGTAAACTACAATTCAACATGACCTGTTGACAGTTGTGAAAGGTGTTAAAATACCAGTTTTTGTAAAAATCTCACTTTTTTTGGTTGAACTCAGTACGAATAGATCTTATTTAAACATCTTTAATTCACTTCCGCATTGGATCCAACTGATTATATTTTAGCAAGCACTGCTGAATTTTATACTAAACCATTTAAGCTTAAGGTCCCTAATGTTGACCTTTTCTGAGTATAGCCATCTTGCACACCACACAACAATCTAATGAATCTGGCGACGTTGTCAATCAAAACAAATCTTATTGAGTTTCTTTACAACATTTGCCATGGCCATTTAAACAACTTTACATCGCCATTTACTGTAGAATACTTTATTTCTGCTTGGAACTTATTTTCGCTATTTATGCTGAAGGAATGCTTCAGTGAAAAATAAAATCCAGCGAATATACTTTTTTTTTTATATCTCACATTCAATTCATCAAAAATCAGTGAAAATAAATTCCATACAAAACACCCAAAAAGCTTTTTCAGCGAAAATTAATTCCAGCTAAAGTATTTCATAGTACATTATCAATCGCTTTCCATATTTTATTTATCAGTGGGCATGAATCATTCTAAGCGGTTGCAATTCGTTACAATTTTCGCCAAAATCTGTTTGTATCCCTGTCAGAAGTACCCCAGTGAAATATTCACTGCTACAGAAATTGAAAGCGGAATTTATCAAAAATTTAAGGCGAATTACAATAACCTAAAATGTAATACTGTTTACTGCAAACTATCGTTATAAAGTGTATTATGTATTTCCCCATCATGTATAGATTGAAGAAAAAGAAAGATTACGAAAAATTGATGAAAATGATGAAATTCGAAGTGATGATTTTCTAGAAAGGACGATAGCTTTCACGGTAAAGAATAATGCAATGGAGAGTGGATTGAACATGAAAACAATTGATACGAATGGTGACGTAAACAGTTCTGATTCAAGAAGTGGAAGCAAGACTACCAAGACAACAGATGAAGATGAGTATTATAAGCCAGTGGAGGTTGTTATTATGGAGGAAATTGCAGAGCTTCATGGATTTGTTGGCAGGTTGGTTTTGTTGTAATACATAACTTTCGGTTTTACAAAGAAATGTTATGAATACTAACATGAAGTCAATTCAGGGAGTTGTAGACTTTTTTAAAATTTTGAATGCTAAAGTAAACATTTTGAACGCAAAATTTAAAATTTTTAATGCAAAATTCAACATTTTGAATGCTCAAGTCAACATTTTGAATGCTAAAGTGAATACTTAGAACGTGGTAGTCAACATCTTGAATGCTAAAGTCAACATTTTGAATACTAGTCAACATTTTGAATGCTAAAGTTGCGACGAAAGTCAACATTTTGAATGCTAAAGCCAATATTTTGAATGCTAAAGTCAAAATTTTGAATGCTAAAGTGAATATTTAGAACATGGAAGTCAACATCTTGAATGCTAAAGTCAACATTTTGAATACTAGTCAACCATTTGAATGTTAAAGTTGCGACGAAAGTCAACATTTTGAATGCTAAAGTCAACATTTTGAACAAAAAATTAAACTTTCATCACTTACTTATAGGTTATGTAAAAAAAAGGGCCCATGTTGTCAAAAATTTATGAGTATCATAAAAGTTGTGCATAAAAATGTGCAAAAGTTGCACCAAAATTTGTTGGGATGACCAACTAATTAAATAAAAGGCAAAATTTGTTGTTGTTTCTGTAAAAAGAAGATATTACTAGTACTATCGGTAGTATATGTCCGATTATTTTCACAGCAATATGTTTGTTGACAAAGTAGTATTTTATTAACATATTTGTCTTACAGTGTAATGGTGTCGGCAAAAGAAGCAGATGGTAGCGTACATACTGCATTACAGTCATTACTCAGACATCTGATAGAGAGGAAACTGAAACATAAGGCTCTAGAAAAGATGGAACTTCAACAGAAGAAGAGATTAAAGAAGAAGAAAAGAGTTAAAGTCGCGAAAAATGATTCAGATTTTGAAGCGTTTGAAGAGGTGGATATACCCGAGGTGAGTTTTATTTTATTTTTATTGCAACTATCCTTGAATTCTCATTCTTTAACAAATAATAAGATTTTTGATATGGATTTGTTTTCATTTACTTATCATTTTATTAGTCCCTATTAAAAGTTGGCCTAGTATCCCCATCGATGTATGAGAAATAGGAAATCTGTCTGTTCTTCATTTCTTTGATGTGCCAGGACCAATTTTGTACAAAGACAAGACATAAGGGTGCACACATGTACATCAATTTTTTATGGATTTGTTGATATTTAACTTGACTGGACACCATTTCTGTTCAAAACAACGCAAATCAAATCAAAACACAGTATCTTCATCTTTTCATAGTGTCACATCTACCCTTGTTCACATTCATTCAAGCTTTATATGAAGTTGAGTTACCGAGTTATTTTGATTGGATTATGGATGAAATTACACCTTTTTATTTTTAACTGTTCTCACCAATTTCTCTGATATCCCTCAACTGATTTTGTTTAACTTTGGTGGATAATAATTTGATGAAATTTGTTTAACATCTTATTTTTCTTTTGCTCTTCTCAAATGTCAATTCAACTAAATATAATATTGGGACTTTTTTATTCATTTTTTTTTCCTTACTAGTTTGATGAGTTATTCCAGAAATGTAACATTCCTGTAAGACGAGCACATGAGGATCGTGATTCCTATTTGAATGCTGTTAAAAAGTTCAAAGTATGTTGTGCTGATGCTGACATTGTGTCAACACCAAGTGCTAGCATGGAAGACTGTATATCTGGTCTCAGAGAAATCATCGGTAACCCTCATGATTTCATGGTAAGTACACAGTGTTTCTTGTATTTGTTTTTATGTTAGCAGGTTACAGATCTAAACATGTTGAGCTGTCGCTACTTTCCATGCACAGCTGTTCTTGTCTTCTGCATTGGCACCATGATCTTGTCAGAATCTGGTTTTCTGCATTGCCATCAGGCTCCAGTCAGAATCTGGTTCACCTGCTATGCCATTTGGATCATGTCAATCTGTTACCCCTGGATGTCTTTAAGATCTATTTAATTTCGGGTTTGCCTGAATTGCCATCATGATCCAATCAGTGTCAGGTTAGCCTGTCAAGATCCAGTCAGTCTAGTCCCCCTACAATGCCACGAAAATCCAGTTAGAGTCTTGTTCTCTTGCATTGCCATTGAGATCCAGTCAAAACATGCAAATTATGTGATTAATTTAGCAAATGTACTGACCTACATAATTATTAATGAATTTAAATAACAAAGAGTTTTTGTAATAATCTAGAAATTAGATTTTTCTGTTTCTCACTTCTAAATGAGCTCACTATCCAAGTTTTAACTCTCTTTACAGGCTGTAGACGACAATGACTTTCTACAGTTGGTTGTCAAAGGTGAATCCTCACTGAAAGTTCCAATACGGAAAGCACTAAAAACTTTCCACTCAGATGTAAGTGTACTTAATTTTATTTAAAATTTATTCTGAATTAAAAATATATACATAACTATTTGTACTGTTATGTCCATGAAACAAGTCAAATGTCCATTGTTAACATCGAAAACAATGGAATTCAGTCATCCACAAATGCTGTAGAAGAATACCCAAAGTATGTTCTGTTTGTTTTGTTATGTTATGTTTTACTGTTTTTGTGCACTTTTCGAAATTCTTGTCACTACATTATAGTGTCCTCAGGTACTTTCTACCTACCTCAATCATATGCAGTTTCTTTAAAATGCATCCAGAGATGGCCGTGGCTTTAGTGCATCCAGAGATGGTCGTGGCTTTAGTGCATCCAGAGATGGCCGTGGCTTTAGTGCATCCAGAGATGGCCGTGGCTTTAGTGCATCCAGAGATGGTCGTGGCTTTAGTGTAGATATTGTTTTTCCTTTGCTGTATAGTTTGTTTGGCATCACAGAAGCTAATGTGTGTCTTTTTTTTGGTTAACAACCTATAATAATGATAATATTTTATAAGCCTATGAAACGGCGTAAAAAGAAACATACAAGTCAATAAGAACAAGGAAAAAAGGAAAAAACAAACTATAAAAGCATTCATACATTTAAATCATTCAATTTCTCATTTCTGAATTTCCATAGACGGGCGAAAAAGTTTTGGATTTGTTTTGAAGTATTATTTCCCAAATCCTTATTGATTGCCCATAAAGCGTCATTGAAGAGAAAATTGAACTCCTGAAAAAAATCTATCCACAATAGTTGGTTCTCCTCCCACCACTTTTCACATCATTTACTTCTCAAGTGGTTAATTGATCTGCAAAGGAATAGAAAATGATAAATATCATTCTTTCCATCATTACAAAGCTTACATACCCAGTCTTGGCAAAAAAGTTACAAATCAAACCAAATGATGAGTAATTGAAAAATAAATCTGCCTAATGTCAAAAGTCACTAGATATTATAAACTTGTGAAATGTTAGCCTGGTTATCTGACTGTTGTTTCATTGCTTACCCACTTCAAGCTATAGTCTAAATTTCCAGTGGGTGGATGTGACAGTGATTGGCTGATAAATATAGCACACTGCTCATCTGAATATGCTAATTTTCCAAACAATGGATGACCATGACTTGATTGGCTGATAAATATAGCACACTGCTCATCTGAATATGCTAATTTTCCAAACAATGGATGACCATGACTTGATTGGCTGATAAATATAGCACACTGCTCATCTGAATATGCTAATTTTCCAAACAATGGATGATAGTTGTATGTTTTCACTTATGTGCTGTATCAACCAATGGTTGCATTACAACATTAGTGACAATTGCATTCTTGTTGCAATAAATTTACATTGCTAAATCTTAAGCAGAAAATCCAGACTGCAGCATGCAATCAGAGTCACCTGGCTGGTAAAATGTGAACAGTTCAAAAAAAAATACTAATTACTGATCCCAATCATAGACCCTAGAAAACAGGGACATGCAGCTTCTGTCTAAGACAAAAGAAAATCCAGTTTCCTGTGTGCAATGTGGGTTACAATCCCATGTATAGATAATCCCATTAATACATATACCTATACATTTGAAACAGTTTTAGTTCTTACCTTTCTACACTTTTTTATATGTTTGATAAGTTATGCTGTGCCAATATTCACATTTGTCAGTGTATAACGAGTGCACTATGCTGTATCTGTTCTAAATATGATGAAAAATCCACTTGTTATAATGACACAATTTTGACAGGTCAATGTTTACGTTTAAGCAGTTTTGTTTTCTTGTAGAGAAAACTGACCATTTTTATTTCCCTTTTCTGTTTTCATAGTGGAATAAAAACTGTTAACTTTGCAATATTTAGTTTCACTGACTCGTATCAATAGAATGGACTTGGCTATTCAGTTTTAATCAAATGTAATTTTTCCGATTATATTCTAACCACAAAGTTGGCTCATTTTGTGTAGCTACTCCCTGACAGCCATGTTTGGCTTATGGAACAGGAGAGGATGTAACAGTGGTGTTGACATAGCTTTATTGTCAGTTTCACTAAGGTGTTAATTGGGTAGAGGATTATAACTAAGGTTACATGAAAGGGATACCTACAGTAGCATGTCCCTGTTTTCTAAGGTCTATGTCCCAATCAATGAAAATTAGGATAAACTCAACTTTTCAGGAAATATGATTTTGTGATTTGATTCACAAACTTGTTCCTTCTAGGTTGTTGTATCTTGTAAGATTATTCTACGAGACTGTCCTAAAATTGAGACTATGTTAGAAGATCTGGATGAGCAGATCGATACCACTGCAGATGATGCTTGGAACCTTGCAACAAAGTACGGAAAAACGCACAAGAACGTCAAGAACATCTTACAGGTAGTGGATAAAAACCGAGCACGGATTAAAAATGCCAGGAGTGCCGTGAGTCAGAATCTTCAGGATGTTGACAATACTAATAAGAAAGTGAAAGCAGCAATAATGTGGAGTCAAGAAAAGGACACAATTAAAGAGGATTAATGTCAGCCTCCCTGGAGGAGGAAGACTATGAAGTCTGTATACAAGCTTTGTTTGATTAATGTACACTATGTTTTTTGCAGTTTAAAGTGGGGGAGTCGTCACCTACGCATGCGTCAGATGGCCATAGCGTGTCATTGTTTACCCCTGAGCCTTTTCGTTTTTAGCGCGTGTTGTTATCGTCGGTTGGAACTCAATTCCCGCACATACGCAGGTGGCGACCCTCTTGTTTTAAGTTGTGCTTCACAAAAATGTTTTTGGCAGTTGATATTCTATGTCATTGAATTGTATACCCATACAATGTTATGACTTTTGAATCAGCATCGCAGTTTAGAACAAGAGTTGGTTCTTGGCTATTGACAAGTTGGCCACGTTCCGGACCCCAAATTCCTGTAAATCAACTGCCACTCCTTTGAATTTGTTACCTCTCTTGTTGCTCATGCTTATATTCAAAGTACACTTTTTGAACTAGCCGTTTTACCAGAAAGTTAATAAAATTCACCAGACTTTGAATGGCAGGATGATTAATTCAGTGTTAGGCATTATTCAATGTCAGACCCTAGATAGTTCATAGTTCATTGTCACAAACAAAGTGTGCAGAATTTGATCAGAGCTGGAAACTAAATACTAGTATTATAGTTATATTGGATAGTAGTTATTCTCTCTATATTCGTTGAGCAACACCATGGGTTAGCACTTGACCCAACACTACTCAGGACTTGGTTGCTATGGGAATGATCTATTTATTAATCTGGCTGGACCAGTCTACCTGAATGAAATGGGGGGGGGGGGGGTGCCCCCCGTTAAAGGTACATTTGTATCCATTCCCCTAATTCCATGTATCTTTTGATTTCAGTGTAGTCTCACATCTGTTAGTGACTAGTGTATTTAAAGGCCAACATTACAAAAGCTGGTTGCATGTTTACAACACATTTTCAATTTCTTCAATACAAAAACATATTTTCATTTGTGTGAATCCAGTCTATAAAGACCAATTTCTGTAAGAATTGTGGGTGGTCACTATAAACAGGGTTGACAAATGCTTATCTGTATTAGAATGAATTTTTGATCCTTCTGGGGTTTTTACCTTGCCCGTACCATCAAAGATGGAAGGGAAAGGTATATTAAGGGAAAAATTTTGTCCGGCATTGTTGTCGTCGTCGTTGTTGTTGTTGTCGTCGTTAATAATTGTTATTGTGTGCATAATAACTTTACTAATTCTATTCCAAACTTCATCAAACTTGGTCACCTTGTTCATCAGTATAAAGTCTTCCCTGAGTTTGAACAACAGATGTCCTGTATGAAAATATCATGCAAAAATTGAGAAAATCTGATAAAATATTTTGACTGTTTCTACTTGACTGATCACTGGTGATACACATCAAAGGTCACTGATCACAGTGGAAATATGCATTGTTGTATGTGTTCAATGAAGCAAATGATTTATCTTGTAATAATATCCTTGGTAATGTATCTCAGAATCCCATACTGGGTTTCAAAACCAACTCATGGAGAGATTGCACAGTCTGATACACATTTGCAAACCTACCAATAAAATCTTTACAGAAAACAAGATGTCAGAAAATCAATATAAGCACTCCTATAAACTGGGTGCCTAACTTTGATCAAGATCTGAAGCTAATAGAAAATCTGTTTAGTTCAAAGT